ACTTTTGGAAAGTTTTTTAGTATCACAATATTTTTCTTGCAATTGGGGTAATTTTACGCTGAAAAATTGGGGTAATTTTGCGCTGCAAAATTTGGCCAATATGGGAGCTTTGGTATACAGGAGCCTAGATTGTTCAGCATAAACAGTTCCATTTGGGCACACGCGGAGTGTAGCAAAAAAAAACCCTAAAACTACATATGTGACAAATGCTGCAGGTAGACCCTCTTATTTCTAAGAAGAAAATTTTTATTTTTAGTTATTTATTTTGTATTTTGTTTGTTCTGTTTGTTTTATAGAGAAAATAGTTTTGTTTTTATTTTATGTTTTATTATAATAATATTATAGAAATAAACGGTTTATTTAGATACCTACAAATCTTTCTCTATACAGCGCAAATTTTCCCACTATGATGCGCAAAATTACCCTGATAGGTGGGTAATTTTGCGCAAATGCATTATTTAAAAAAATGTAGTTTTTGCATACCAAACATTTTTTTTTATAAATTGCGCATTATATACACATAGTAAACATAGTAGACTATCGCTGGTATTAATTGCAAAATTTCATATTTAAACTTAACAAAGATACTATAGATTTTGCTTAGATGCGCAGAATTCCCCCACCTTCCCCTAATAATTATAACAAATATAATTTTTTACATACGATGCGCTTGACTTGCCTTTATTGTTGCCACTTTACTTGTTTTTAATAGTTTCTTTTTATACTCAAAAATCCATCTAAAAACTAAGGCTGAAGACAAGTACTTCTTTTATTTATTAATGACATTTAATTTAGTACTTACCTATGAAAGAATCCAACAGGACTTATTTTTATATAATTATTATATTATATTATATGTATGTATTTTTAAAACTCTAACCTCAAAGCCGGCGAGCTGTCAAATTAATTCTAAAGCTGGTTTCACATTTGAAACGTATGTTTATTAGCGCCACTAGCGTCCAACTCAGGAACTTCAAATTTACTCTCGCGCATAGTTGTAAATTTATTCTCTCGCCAACGAAATATTTTTACGCGAGAAATTTTTTTTTATTTTTTACTCTCGCGCGTACTTGTAAATTTATTCTCCTGCCAACGAAATATTTTTACGCGAGAATTTTTTTTTTATTTTTAAACAAGAAATTATTTTTTCTCAACAGTATTTTTTTCTCGCGTAACAATTTAATTATGACACAAACAGCGCCTCATAGAAAGCTTAAGATTGATTAAGAATAGTATATTCTGTAACAAGTTTGGAATACAGCATATTCCGCTCGAGTGAAGAGTTTGTCACACGAGCCGAAGGCGAGTTTGACGGTTTCACGAGAGCGGAATATGCAATTCCAAACGTGTTTCAGACTATACTTTTTCTACTTTTCCAAAAAATACCATAGAAAAATAATTTAATTGGAAGAAAGTGAGGTTAGATCGGTCTAAAATTTATTAGATATTAAAAACAGAGATGTCGCCACGAGTGTTTATTCTGTCATCAGATGATAGAATATTTCATTCTGTAACACTTTACGGAATATTTGTCATTCCATAGATAAAAGTAATATTAGAAGGGTCAAATTCCGTAATAGGAGTAGAAAAATACTTTACTAAAACGTAACTAAATTTCAATTTTTGTAATGTAAAATAATCCTAAATCAACAAAATATGGAATTTAAATTTAATTTAAATTTAAATTAAATTTAATTAAAACATAATGGTTTTTAAGGTTTACATTTTTATATGAATACACAAATAAAAAAAGAACGGCTGATTTCTTCTTTTCTGAGTAGAACTTTTTTGTTTGTTTTATTTTTTGTCATTTGCTTTTTTTTAATAAATATTGTGTTTAATAGAAATAGAGTTTATTCATCCAAATATTACCAAAAGTAATAGGTATTAAAATTTTAAACATTCAGCAATATAGGTAGCCATTTTAAGGAGCGGAACACTGAGTGCACCGCGCGACCACTTATGTTACAAAAATTGGCGCGAGTAGTTAAGGGTTAAATACCACTCGAGGTTTGATTAAGCAGGACATTTTTAGCCTAAAAGTCAAACCCCCAAGTGAAAAGTCAAAAAATATCCAGCTAAATCTACCTACAGGAATTTGGTAAAAAAGTTTCATACATGTGTTTTTTCAGAAATTATTAGCTTTCCTATGTGATATAAATAATTATTTAGGTAAATATACATAAATTGTATTTTTTTTTAAATAACATGAAATTATAGTGGCATTCCACGTTACTCGGTAATTTTTGTCCCGCCCGAGTAAAAACCACAAGTTATAAAATTAATATTTTATAATATTATTTTTATTGTTCTTATAACTTATTAAAAGCATAATAAAACAATATTTTTAAATAAATTGTATAACTTGTAGTTTTTACTCACAATTTTTAATTGTGACGGGCGGGACAAAAATCCCCGACTTTGATGTGTGCACATCCATGGAGCAGAGTTGTACTTTACTCAATGGTTGTACTATGAATACATAATACATACCCGGACAACAATCGGGATTTCCTGGTGAAATCATGATGATATCACAACGTGATTTTTTTTGTCACGCCGTGATATCCTGAGTGCATACACATGCTTCATCACAGTGATATCATGTAGAACTCACGGTGTGATTTTTGCAAAATTTGCGCATGCGTAATAGCCCTACGAACTGCGAATTTAAAACCTAGTTTGTTACCTGTTGATTCAACATAACTTTTCTCTTAGTGTACGAACGTGGCGCAAAAATTATTATCAAAACATCGTTGGCATAAAAAATCACGACATGATTTTTTATGCTATCGGTGTTTGGGCATAAAAAATCACGACATGATTTTTTATGCCATCGGACATGTTAGGATATTTATTTTTGCGCTACATTCGTACATTGTGAGAAAAAGTATGTTAACAATTGAATTAACAGTTTTTGCGGTTAAATACATTTAATATTTTCTTGGATGTAAATTAACTATTAATTTAATTCCAAAAAAATATTGAATGTATTTAACCACAAAAACTGTTGATTCAATATAATATATTGAATATATATTATATTTAAGTATACTTTTTCCCCTAATGTACGAATGTGGTGCAAAAATAAATATATTTATTTTTGCACCACATTGGATATATCCAAACACCGATGGCATAAAAAATCACGACATGATTTTTTATGCCATCGGACATCTTTGGATATTTATTTTTGCGCCACATTCGTACAGTGTGAGAAAAAGTATGTTAACAATTGAATTAACAGTTTTTGCGGTTAAATACATTTAATATTTTTTTGAATTTAAATTAACTATTAATTTAAATCCAAAAAAATATTGAATGTTTTTATTTAACCACAAAAACTGTTGATTCAATATATATGTAGGTACTCTTTTTCTCTCAATGTACGAATGTGGCGCAAAACTAAATATCCAAACACCGATGGCATAAAAAATCACGTCATGATTTTTTATGCTATCGGTGCTTGGGCATAAAAAATCACGACATGATTTTTTATGCCATCGGACATCTTTGGATATTTATTTTTGCGCCACATTCGTACAGTGTGAGAAAAAGTATGTTAACAATTGAATTAACACTTTTTGCGGTTAAATACATTTAATATTTTTTTGAATGTAAATTAACTATTAATTTAAATCCAAAAAAATATTGAATGTTTTTATTTAACCACAAAAACTGTTGATTCAATATATATGTAGGTATTCTTTTTCTCTCAATGTACGAATGTGGCGCAAAAATAAATATCCAAACACCGATGGCATAAAAAATCACGACATGATTTTTTATGCTATCGGTGTTTGGGCATAAAAAATCACGACATGATTTTTTTATGCCATCGTTGCACCGACATCTTTGGATATTTATTTTTGCACCACATTCGTACATTGAAAAAAAAAGTATGTTAACAATTGAATGAACAGTTTTTGTGGTTAAATACACTTAATATTTTCTTGAATGTAAATTAACTATTAATTTAAATTCAAAAAAATATTGAATGTTTTTATTTAACCACAAAAACTGTTGATTCAATATATATGAAGGTATTCTTTTTCTCTCAATGTACGAATGTGGCGCAAAAATAAATGTCCAAACACCGATGGCATAAAAAATCACGACATGTATTTTTATGCCATCGGTGTTTGGTCATAAAAAATCACGACATGATTTTTTATGCCATCGGTGTTTGGATATTCATTTTTGCGACACATTCGTACATTGAAAGAAAAAGTATGTTAACAATTAAATTAACAGTTTAACATTCAATATTTTCTTGGATTTAAATTAAATATATATAGTTAATTTAGATCCAAGAAAATATTAAATGTATTTAACCGCAAAAACTGTTGATTCAACATAATTTTTCTCTTAGTGTACGAACGTAGCGCAAAAATGATCCAAACCGTCGGTCAATCGCAAACAGCGATGGCATAAAAAATCACGACATGATTTTTATTTCTCAAGCAGTGACATCCGGATGATGTCTGTATGAATAAAATTTGTGAAAATCACGACGTGACGTTCTTATGATTTTCATTTATCACGCGGTGACTTCCGTATGATATCAGTATGAATAAAATTTGTGAAAATCACGACGTGATGTTCGTATGATTATCACGAATGTTGTCCGGGTAGTCCCACACAGAGTGTGACTACTATGAAAGAAAGAAGATTTATTTTATGATAGTCTATGAGAGTACCACAGATTATAAAAGATTCTTTTAAAAAGCATAATACCATTGAGTCAATGGCATTGACTAAGGACTTCTTCACTCAACGATAATACTCATAATACTCTCTATGTCATAGTCTATGATGTTCCACCCTGTTCTTGTTTAAAACAACACAACTACGGTCATCTGTCGTAAATTTGACTAACTATTTCAAAGAAACCTGCTGTATAAACCATTATTACTATTGTACACTGCTGCCATATTTCTTTTGACCAGATGATATTTTATATAATACGAAATTTTATTGAATGAGAATTTGATCAAAATCGAATTGTCAAAATTGACGTCTTACGGATTACTCATGCAATTTACAAATAATTGCATTAAATATTATAGTTAGACGACGTATTTCAAACGGTATCATTTAAATAATAAGATCATGAACAGATTATTCGGAAAAGGAAAACCTAAAGAGCCTGGTCCAAGCATTGCTGATTGCATTACTGGGGTAAAAGAAAGTGTTTAATTAGGTATCCTTAATCGTTAATGGTGTAATTTATAGGTGGATCAAAGAGCTGAATCAGTGGAAAAGAAGATTGCAACGCTTGAGAATGACCTGAGAAAGTTTAGGGATCAAATGTCTAAGATGAGGGAAGGCCCAGGTAAAAACGCTGTTAAAGCGAAAGCAATGCGAATATTAAAGCAGAAAAAGATGTATGAAAACCAATTGGACAATTTAAGAGGTCAATCGTTTAACATGGAACAAGCCAACTATGCCCATCAAGCTCTTAAGGATACCCATACAACAGTTGTAGCAATGAAAGATGGCATGAAGCAAATGAAAAAGGAATTCAAGAAAATCAACATTGATGATATTGATGATGTTCAAGATGAGATGGCTGATTTGATGGAACAAGCCGATGAAGTACAAGAGGCTCTTGGCAGAACTTATAACACACCTGAACTTGATGATGATGAGCTGGCAGCTGAATTGGATGCCTTGGGTGATGAGATGGCTTTAGATGATGATCAGAGTTATCTTGATGATGTTTTAAAGGCTCCAGAAGTGCCCAGCAGCAACAAACCAGATGCCAATAAAGACAAAACCAACAAGGTAAATGAATTGTTTTATCTACTACTACATTTAATACACTAGTGTATTGATCAACTCAAGTTACTTAATGCACTATATACTTCATTAAATTGGGAAAAAGTGATGTTGAATTAAAAAAAGTATAGTTAGTCCCTTCTGACAGATGACAGATTGTTAAAAAACAAGGTTGTCAGATGTCAAATAAAATTAACTTTATGTCAATTAAAAAAACATTACTTTGCGTTTAAACAATTGTCGTAGATAAAGTATGGTGATTCGGGTTATGGTTTCTAAAGCGTACCCATAATGGTGAATAAAAAATTTGTGACCTAGGAGTAATTATCAGATATACATTGTGCATGCAGCCATTTGCCATGGTTGAAATAAACTAGAAAATGTATTATGGATCAAATAAATTCAGGCTAATGATTGAATTATGGTAAAAGTAGTAATATGCAAGACTTGTATGTAAATTTTATAAATTCAAAAGTTGATATAAGCTAATAATTGAAATTTAAATGTGTGTTTAATGGTATGTAATTTATTTAATGTTCGCCAGTAGTCGGCCTTTTTCAATGTACAGTTGTATTCATTAAAAAAGCGTACAAGAATTAGAATGAGAGAAAACTGTCAACATTATTGCGTAAAACCGGCTTTCCACTGACTTAAGTCACTATAACTGACAGTAGAAAATAAAAATGCATCGTCAGTTAAAAAGGCTCAAATAGTATCAAGAATGGTCAATTCGTACTGTGGTATAATAGAAATAAAAAATCTATATTAAAAATTAAGCAACGCTGGGAACAGGAAGATTTACTAAACCAAAAAGTTGGTTCAGGTCGTCCCAAAATGTCCACCCCTAAACAAGATGCTGCTTTTTTGAGATATCTGAGGATTTATGGGAAACTATACAACTATACTATACCTACCATACTGCTGGGAAGATATTAATCCAAATATTGTATTAAATTTAATTCAGTTCATCCCAAATAGATTGGCTCAAATGATAGAAAAACAGGGATGCATGACTAAATATTAAATTTTTTTTAATGTTTGTTTTTTTCATTATTAAAAGGTAATAATTTTTGTAATATTTAATTAACCTACGACGTCAATGCTCTTTATAACCTATAATAATTATTTTAATGACTTATGTCAGTGATAAGCCGGTTTTAAGCAATAATATTATTTTGACAGTTTTCTCTCATTCTAATTCTTGTACGCTTGCTTTTTTATTGAATACAACTGTATTTTGACTTATACCTTAAATAGTATTAAAGTTTATCGAGTTAAGTTATAAATTCCTCTATGGGAGTGGACATAATGTATTCTATCATTGCGTGAGTATGAAGGAGAAACCTTTTATTTAATAGTATATTCTGTAACAAGTTGGAATACAGCATATCCCGCTCGAGTGAAGAGTTTGTCAAACGAGCCGAAGGCGAGTTTGACGGTTTCACGAGAACGGAATATGCAATTCCAAACGTGTTTCAGACTATACTTTTTTTACGTTTCCAAAAAATACCATAGAAAAATAATTTAATTGGAAGAAAGTGAGGTTGGATCGTTCTAAAATTTGTTAGATATTAAAAACAGAGATATCGCCACGAGTGTTTATTCTGTCATTCGATGATAGAATACACGTTGCTAAGTAATATTTTAACAAGAAGCATGAGTGCTGGGGGCACCTGCACGAATGCATTTTGTTAAAAAATATTACTTAGCATTGTGTTTTTTCGATTTTTTTCACAGGAAAAATTAGATGCCCGAATGGTATTTGACAAGACTATTTCATGAGTAACAGTTAACAATTAAAATATAAATTGCAATTTTTTGTGACAACAGCTGTCAAGTTTTGCCTCGGGTAAACTGCTGACAGTTTTGCCGCGGGTAAACTGCTGACAGGTGCTGTCATACAGTTTTTTCACCTTGAAACCATTTGTAATTCAAAATTGCGCGTTTGTGATTGGTGGAAATTAAGACAAGGGAAATAGTCTACAAGAAGTTAATTAACTCAGGGAACACCCACTGTTGCCACGTTTCTCCGCGTCTTCTGTCAAACAAAACTATTAAAACCATAAAACCAAACCAACCCAAACTCAACAACACAACCCAACCGACCCCGCCCCATTGGGCCCCCCCATTGAGCAAAAAAACAAACTAAAATGGGCAAATTTATGTTACGATAAAATAAATGAAATAAAAAAAGTTCGAGTACTTCTAGTATATTTTATGTTACGATGAAACTAAAACAAACCAACCAACCCAACCGAACACTGTTTAACAAAGAAACAACAAATTTATGAAATGAAAAAATAAAAAAAGTACGACAGCTTCTTAGTATCGAACCCGAGACCTCTCGCATGCCAAGCGACCGCCCTACCATCTGAGCTATCTAGCTTGATGTCAAATGTTAAACGCTCGGGGAACAAAAACGGATTATAATTATGATGTAACAAATTTACACAGTACAGGCATCATAGATAATAATAATAATAATGACATTTCGTATAAGAAATTAGGTTAAAGATTTGTTTACGTTTAATAGTTTTGTTTGACAGATGACGCGGAGAAACGTGGCAACAGTGGGTGTTCCCTGGGTTAATTAGCTTCTCGTAAATAGTCTTCCGTTAATTTTGCACGAGACTTCTCTAGTGACTCAAAAGTTCGGGTGAAATTTTCTGGATGTCTATGAAGGAATGACGAATACCATTTTTAGGTTTCCCGTCTTTAAATGAAGTTTTTATTTTCTGATCCAAGACAATCTTTTGTATCGTAGAAATTAATTCACGCTTTTTAACGGGAAATCCACATTTCGCCAAATTGATTATCCAGTTGACCACTTTTTTTACATTTTCGGCGCTCAAATATGATTCTGGGCCCATTTGCTTTGGCTTATTAGCAATTCGCGCCTTGATCCGGTCCTGTAGTGTTGCTCTGGGAATGCTGTTACAGCATTGCTGTATCTTCGACAATATTCCCTTATTGTGGTCCCATTGTACATCAGAGACAAGGGAGAGAGAGACGATTCTTTAAATGGGAATTTCGGTCAACAATTTAGATGCGCAGGGCTGCACACAGATTTCAATGTAAATTGGTTTCTGCACATTTGTTGGCAGCCCTGCACTGAAAAGGCGCAATTATGTTCTTTACTGTCATTTTCTGTCGTCTGTCAGTCTGCTGTCAGTAAATACTAAAAGTGCTTCTGTGGTTTTGTTTATAAGTTTTATTGATAAGTTATTATACCTCGTTATATTTAGCAGATTGTTAATTGTTGTTAAATGAAATTATTTAAGGTCAAAGTAAATAAATTAAAATATGTAGGTATGTGTGATAAAATAATTTTCTTCTCTTATTCAATTCGATTAGTTTTTAGAGTGTTTTTTTGTGTTGTTAATTAAGTTTTTGCTTTAAAATATTTTCGTGTAGGTATGTTTATTTCATATTTAAATATAATTAATATTTTGATATTTTTACATTATTTTCTATTTTTGTCTATAAATTATTTGTGTTCAATGTTATTTTTGTTCCTGTTTTTTATTGGTTTACATGTTGTAAATAAAATAATTTTAATTTAATGCTATTTTAATTTTTTTAAACATGATATCTACGAAAGATCCTACTTTTTAATTCAATCGGTGAGATTAAGAACAGTACAAGTCCAAAATATTTATTTTTACAAATTATTTTCTAAAATTAATTTAAAAGTTTAAAATGAATTTTTGTGAGAAGATTTATATTATTTTATAAAATATTATTATTATGTTTTATAAAGTATTTAGTTGAAATATTTTCACAAAAATGCTTTTTGAACTATAAAACTGACTTTATAAAATAATTTGTAAAATTTTTTGGACTTGTACGGTTCTTAATCTCACCGATTCATTTGTAGCAAACAAAAATTAAATATTTAAAAATACCGCGCAAAATTTTTTTAGCATTAGTTCTCGCAGCCCCCGGCGAGGGCGCCACATTTATTGTTTCCAATGTTTATATGGGAATCGTTCGTCTCTCTCTCCCTTGTCTCTGTTGTACATCGCTTCGATGGCCTTTTGCAAATTTTCGTCGGTAAATATACTGGAACTTTCGTTTCATTTTTAAAATTAGACTGAAAGTGGATAATTTCAAATATCAAGTCGAAAAATAGTTTTAAAAGTGGCTCAAAATCATATGGCCGACTACTAGCAAAAAATAGCATTCGATGCCCACTCCAATAGTTGGCCATCAATTTAAAACTTTCGTAACATTTTTATTTTCACTTCTACCTCCGGCTGACTATTGGTACAGAAAATCTGCTTATTTGATAGAACATAAGTGTGTCAGAGAAAAAATATACAAAATTAGATAACTAATATAAAGACAAGTAAAACTTTTTATCAATGCACCAGTAGTCGGCATCATAGGCCGACCACTAGCTACTCTGTTAAATTCACATGCTAGTGATTGGCCATGGCCAATCACTAGCATGTGAATGCATTAAATTTTAAACCTAAAAATTACGAAATTACGGTTTTTAGACCAAATATTAGGTAGTTCTATGCATATTCTTTCATAACAATCCACCGAAGTTCTTTAATTATTGACTTATAGAAAATAACTTCCGTTTTAATTTTCTGGCATGCTGTTCTAATCAAAGTTTCGGCAGGTGGGACACTCGTATCGGCGACAGTGTGAATTTTGCGCTGGAATTATATATGACAGGAGTTTTTTGGGTTAAGCGAAATTGACATTTAGCTACTTATACAAAAATGACAATACAATTCATTATAATTAGAACCAATAAAATGCCAGTATTCCATGGTTACGCATTTTATCACAGCGACAATACAGGGTGTCCGGGAAAGGGAGGTCAATCCGTTAACCATATATTCCTTGAGTTAAAACAATAAGACTTTCATAATACCATTTTTCAATTTAGAGCTTCATGTTCGATATACAGGGCGACAAAGTTTGAAATTTAAAACTGATTTTTTTTAATAATTCTAGTAATTGATAAGATATTAAGTTTAAATTCGGTACACTACTTCAACATAAATAGTTACATTTTTTGAGACCAACAAAACAAAAAACAATTGTTAAATAATCAAAATAGGGGGGTCCAGTACTCACTGACTCCCCTTACTTTTTAGTACGTGCGCCAATGACTTCCAAACGGTATTTTTTCAGGTAATCATTTATTGTTAAAAAAAAATTGTCTCCTATAAAATTTTGATAAAATGATTTGTTTTAAAGATAATTTGTAAAGTATGGGTCAGTCCATATCAAATCAACCAAAGGTTCTTCCCCCACCATCTCCGATTTTGATCATTTTTGGTAAATTTGTTTACCTCACTAAAAAACTCAAAAATCCCAAATATGAATTTTTTTCGATAGGTGGTTTTTGTTTTATTGATTTTTGAAAATCAAAAAATTCCGATAAATTTGGGTCTTGCAAGTACTTACAAAAATAGCGATATCTCGTAAACTATTAAAAGTAGAAAGGTGAGTGATGGCTTATTTTAAAGGCCTATTAGAGAACTTTTTTATGATATATTACATGACCTACATTTTTTCAAAAAAAAATTTAATTTTGAAAATTTGATATGGACTGACCCATACTTTACAAATTATCTCTAAAACAAATCATTTTATCAAAATTTTATAAGAGACAAAACATTTTTAACAATAAATGATTACCTGAAAAAATTCTGTTTGGAAGTCATTGGCGCACGTACTAAAAAATAGGGGGAGTCAGTGAGTACTGGACCCCCCTATTTTGATTATTTGACAATTGTTTTTTGTTTTGTTGGTCTCAAAAAATGTAACTATTTATGTTGAAGTAGTGTACCGAATTTAAACTTAGTATCTTATCAATTACTCGAATTATTAAAAAAAATCAGTTTTTAATTTCAAACTTTGTCGCCCTGTATATCGAACATGAAGCTCTAAATTGAAAAATGGTATTATGAAAGTCTTATTGTTTTAACTCAAGGAATATATGGTTAACGGATTGACCTCCTTTTCCCGGACACCCTGTATAATAGGTGCATAAAGGAAGATTGCTCAAAACTGGCGCCTTATTCAAGTTATTTGCGAATAAAGTTGCTAGTGGCCGACTACTCGTCACCCTATTATAACAAGGTTGTAACGAAAAATTTAAGTCTATGTTTCTACAGGATTATACGTGGCCTACGCTTCACATACCACTTAAAAATAATTCTATAGAATGTATATTCTATGTATACATATATATAGAGTTATTTTCATGTTGTATGTCAAGGGTGGATTACATAAAACCTTGTAGAAGCATAAACTTAAATTTTTCGGGTTTTTAACATACAACCTTGTTATATTAGGGTGACGTACTGGTGGTGGCCGGCTTACTGGCGAACCCACCCTACCATGGTCCACACCCAGAAGTCCCACCACGAGACTTTGATACAAATAATTAAGGTTAATTTTCTGTCAGTGTCAAGCTAAGTTTGTCCTATTTTCTAAAAACAATGCAATATATGTTTGTATTTATTGTGTGTAAAGGTCTTAATTTAAAACACAAAAACTACATACAGGGTGTTTCAGAATAAGATGCTGAACCTTAAGGGTGTGAATCCTTAGTTGAAGAAAAAAGTTCAAATAAACCTATGAGTCATAGGCTATGACCTAAACCTCTTAATTTTTGAGTTACAAGTTTTAAGAAAAAAATCGTTTTTTTATCATCACTTTAATAACTTCCTAGATATTTTTATAAAATTTGCCTTCTAAGCATTAACAGTAAGTTTTTGATGTAGAAGATTTTTTATTTTTTTTACCAGTGGCGTCCGTACAGGATGTGGTCTAGATATTTTTGGAAAAATTTTATGCACGCCACTGCTATTTTTCAAAATAAAAATTATTTTTTAAATCCCCATTCATTTTAGGGCAAATATGATTTCTTGACCATTTTTCGCAGGACTTAAATAAAATTCCAAATAAAAAAACTTGGGATTTTTTTATTTTGCTATATTCTTAGTTACATAAATAAATAAAATATTACAAAAAAAAAGTTTCACAGAAAATCTGAAAATCACTCAGATCAGCACCACAAATTAATTGTATATGATTTTTTAGGATGGAGTTGAAGTAGATGAGTTTGGCTTGCCTCAAATACCATCCCAGTCACACCACTAACATAAAAGTCAAATGTCCATTTGGTGGGTAATTAAGATTTCATAAATAAAATGTATATGCTTTATTTTGTATAAATACACAGCTTTTTAGAGTTGTAAAATAAACTTTAATCACTTTAAATATAAGTATAAAAATCAAGAAACTGGCAATTATGTAACACAATACAGCATAAATTATATTCTCAGTTAAGTATTTTATATGTTTAAAGTTTGTTCTTTTTTTAATATAACTGTGATTGTTTTGTATAGAAAAATAAAATGCTTTAATTAAAATCTTGTTTTAATGATGGCAATCTAGGAATATTTACAGGTTTGGCATCTTCCATTTCTCTGTATAATTCAATTATATCCATTAATGTACTCTGACATTCATCAAAAGAATCCAAAGGAAAACCCTGGATATTCATGTAGTGGTGTATATGTGCCTGAAATATTATAAAAATTAATTATTAATTTAACAGTGCAATCTGAAAATGGCACACCAAGTTCATGTATTGTAATTAATTAAATTACAATTTTTGTAAAAATTTTAAAACTGTATTTTAATTAATTTTAATATGTATTATTATTGTTATTGAAATAATCCAGTATATGTAGTATGCTATGGAAAGTGATAAGTAAGTAATTTATAAGAAACCCTGTAAAAAATAAACCTACTTTTTTGTTGTATAACACACTAAACTGCTTATGGATGTACTCAAAAAACGTAGACATAGCTGAAGTATTGAATACAGAAAACATTGATATGTCAGTTTTGTAAGGTGGTACACTGCATAATCCAACTTTTACAGCTTTTTTAGACCAGTTAGTAAATTTAGCTTTACTTTGTATTTTATCAACATACTGCCTCATATCAGTTATTGTATAATCACCTCTTCCTATTAAAGTGGTACCCAATAAAACCGATTTTGGACCTAAAATCTTTTATAGTAAATATATCATTGTAAACAGAGTCTCTGTAAAATATGGTTGCAACAAAATACCATGGATTCTTTGGCTAAAAATATGTCAACTTATTGGATCTTACTATACAGGGTGCACATGCATGTAGGGGTAACTTTTTTATTTAAAGAGCTACAAGGTCGGTTAAAGTGGACAAAAGTTAAGTAATTACAAGTTCATAAAATGGCTTTAAAAACTGAAAAGAAAATTAGGGGTTCTCAAATAATTTAAAAAGAACTGTAAACCTGTCAAAACCAAAAAATTTGCAATTCCGGGGAATTAAAAAAAAGTTTTACATGTAAACATACTTTTATCTACCTTTTCATCCAATTTGTAATTTTTTGTTGCCCACTGGATTTTGAGATACCACCACCATCTTTTGTTTCTCCTATGGCGGCCATATTGAAAAAAAAATTAAGGAATCCAATGATATATTATACTACATAAATTATGGCAGCCATTATAAACACAAAAAATGGTGATGGTATCTCAAAACATGAGATCTCGATTAACATGTACATTTAAAACTTTTTGTTTCAAAATTTTCATAACAAAGTTTTTTTTTTAAATATAGAACTGCTGGCTGTTTTTCCATTTAAAAAATTTCATGTTAAGAGGCTTGTAATTACGCAACTTTTTTCTAATTTAACTAACCTTGTTGCTTTTCAAATTTGAATGGGTATCTTTTTTATTAATAAATCAGATACCCATATATGGGTAATTCTTTTACAAACCGTACGGATTTGATAAAAATTGACCGACACATCTCCGATTTGGCTGAAACTTTTTTTACGGATTCTATATCGAAAAATAAGAGACACGTGTCCGAGGATTTTTTTTTCTTTCGCATATTTTCGATAATACAAGTGATCAAAAATTTGAGAAAAACAAGGTTTTTGGCTTGGAGACCCATTTTCAAAAATTTATAACTGCGGTTCTATTTGAGCTACAAACATCTTTTTTTTTTCATTTTAAAGCTAAAGGACTAAATTTTGATAACAAAATATTTTTAATAAAAATTATTAACAAATTCATATTGTTATTAACAATTTTATTTTTTAAATCAATTTTTAACAATGGCCCTCACCTCGTATTAAGTTTTTAGTATTTTTATCGTACTCTCCGTCAAATTTTACATAAAAAACATGTTTTCAAAATATGGTACCTTTATTATTACTATTGTTAAAACATTAATTCATATTGCGCGACACATAAAAAAACGGTTTTTGTTAATTAAAAGAAAACTATAGCTCGGATCAAAAAAAGTTAAATATAAAAGTTGTAGATAATAAATAGATCTACAATTTTTGTTTTAACTATTTTTCGACATAACCTCACTTTTCAAATAAATTGAAAAAAATGTTAAAAATCACCTCTTTTAAATTTATTAGCAATCAATACCATGAAAAAAACATAAATTAATAATAAATTATAGAAAAATATTTTAAAAGAGGTGATTTTTTAAAATTTTTTTCAATTTATTTGAAAAGTGAGGTTATGTCGAAAAAAAGTTAAAATAAATATTGTAGATCTTTTTATTATTTATAACTTTTATATTTAACTTTTTTGATCCAAGCTATAGTTTTCTTTTTATTAACAAAAAACCGTTTTTTTATGTGTCGTGCAATATGAATAAATGTTTTAACAATAGTATTAATAAAGGTACCATATTTTGAAAACTTGTTTTTTATGTAAAATTTGACGGAGAATATGAAAAAAATACAAAAAACTTAATACGAGGTGGGGGCCATTGTTAAAAATTGATTTAAACAATGAAATTGTTAATAACAATATGAATTTGTTAATAATATTTATTAAACATATTTTTTTATCAAAACTCAGTCCTTTAGCTTTAAAATGAAAAAAAAAAGAAGTTTGTATCTCAAATAGAACCAGAGTTATAAATTTTTGAAAATGAGTCTCCAAGCCAAAAAACTCGTTATTCTCAAATTTTCGATAGCTTGTATTATCGAAAATATGCGAGAGAAAAAAAATTCCTCGGACACGTATCTCTTATTTTTCGACATAGAATTCGTAAAAAAAGTTTCAGCCAAATCTGAGATGTGTCGGTCAAAAGGTGTTCGGTTTGTAAAAGAATTACCCATATATGGGTATATATATATTATATACTTCTATAAAAGAAGTATACACATAGAAGAATACTTGGTGCACCCTGTATTAAGTTGCTTTTTTAAGTCACTAGAGGGCTTTAAAGTTAAATTAAATCAATTTTTCACTAATGAATCTGTGATCTTTTATTGATATTTTTTACTTATTTTATTATACCTAGAGGATCTAGTTTTATTAATTGGTTATTTTTACTACAAGCACTTAAAAAGTTTTCAGTCTTTGGTTGTTTACTAGAAAGAAAAGTTAATTGTTAATATATTAGTTTTTTTCATAGTTTTATATCATACCAGGATTGTCTTGACCCCCTTGAGCTATAAGTAATGGGACTAAAACCTGTAGATAGGAACTTTAGTTTTGGAAATGGCACCATATTTGTATTTAACTCATTCATATCGAAATTTAAGCTTCCTGGAAATCGAGAACCGCTAAAAAAATATCATTTAACACATCCTATTTAAAATTACAACCAACAAACCTTGTCAAATGCAAGAGCATATTTACAATAATGCTATTCAAGTCTTCAAAAGGCCTAAACATGGATATATTACTGTCAAAGTTAATATTAATGCCTTGTCTTGCTTGTATATCAAGTAGTGCCCTATTTTCCACGGGAAACACACAAGTGGCATGTGAAATCATTTCTTGAGTGGCAAAACACATATTGTAAGGACAAGTTATAACATCTTCAGTTCCAGTTGGGTATACACATGAAACAAACCTTTTTATAATTAAAAATGATATTTTCTTATGTTCAAAATGTTAAGGCAAAATATGGCTTAAAGTAAGGTGACCAACCGTTCTGATTTAACCAGAACTATACTGTTTTTGAGAACCATGTTCTGGTTGTAAATTAAGTAAAGTAAAAGTTCTGTTTTTTAAAAGCTTTTCTGTTTTTTTTCTGTTTTCATACCTACATATACCTACAATACTAATTAAGCCTTAAACATAAAATTATATTTTCCAATTTGCCAGATTTTTCGCCCAATCGTGCAACCCTGCTCGCCCTACTCCCACTAAATACATCGCATTTGGCTCTCCCCAAACGAACTAATAGTTCGGAACTATTTTAGTATTTAAATATTGTATACTCTAAATGATATGCCTCTGCATAGACGAAAATGCATCTTTAATGCAGAAATGCAAAAGAATTACCCATATTGTTGTGTTTATCTTGAACAAATAGTCCTATAGAGAAAGTTTTTTTCCAATATGAACAACTTTTGGATAAAAGACAAATTACAATTGCATATTGAAACACTAAAATCTCGCTAAAATCATTATTAATTGTTAAAACTAATTTCGATCAAACATGCTTAAAAAATGAAGTACTAATAAAACAAATTCACTCCCAAGAAAAATATAGTTTTAAAAAATCTTAATTTGTAATAATATTATGCTAATAGAAACACATGTAAACATTTTATAATAAATACAGATTTTTCATAAAAGTTCTGGTTTTTCTTTCAGAAGAGTTGGTCACCTTAGCTTAAAGTCTAATAAAAGTAAAATTTATATGCATTAAAGATATTTACCCATGCATATATGGTTATGGTTATTTACCTTTCTACTTTTGGATAATAATCAGCCAAGAGATTCAAAATATAGCTTCCCAATCCAGATCCAGTTCCTCCTCCAGTAGAAAACAACACTAAAAATCCATGCAAACTGTCACATTGTTCAACGACATACTGAATAACATTTAATATTTTATTCTTGAATTTAGCTCCATGCTCCCAAAATCCTTCAGCCCAATTATTACCACTGCCAGGATAGTTTGTTATAAAGCTTTTCTTGTCGAATATATTCTTTAATGTCCCCAATCTAAACCGATTTACAACACTTTCTTCCATGTCAATACATATTACTCTTGCTTTAACATTGTTTTCATATAAATCGCCTAACGATTGATAACTGTGTTGAGATTTCTGTGATTTTATGTTAAAAAAGCTAGACAAAGATTTCTGCACTTCATTATTTCCTTTATTAGTATTATCTGAGCCCAAATTGTATTCCTGCAAAATTAATGGCCAAAGGGCACTGCCTATTTGATTCCCACATTGCCCCACTAAAATGTCCCACTTGTGTAATTACTAAATCCATAATTAAGATAATATTTACCTTGAATAACAATAAACTCGCTCATTTCATATCTAATAATAAATTTAACAAAATACCACTTTGTAAAATGTCTTTCACCTTTCAAAAAACCAAAACAACCAAGCCCCTCAACTTAAAAAAATTGAAATGTCACTTCCGACCAATGACAGCTTACGTAAATAGTGTCTTTGTCGCAATTTTGTTGGCAACAGTTGCTATCTGACGTATGTAACCGTTTATCTGTCAAAATCAAAATTCTAAATCAAAACAAACGTGGATGGTTTTAGTACAAAATTTGCTGTTTTATTAGTTTAACAAAGTGTAAGGATTTGAAAATTAAAAACGATGAAGTTGTTTATATTTAGTTTATTTATTTTCTGTATAAATGCTAAAACTTCTGCACCCGGTAAGTTTGTAGGTTAATTTATGAAAAGTTAAAAATAAGTCGAATTTTATAGTTTATCATTTGGAACAAGGAGTAAATGTTAAAATAGAATCAAGCTTTACAAAACGTTTGAACATATTTTGCTACTATGGCAAGCCAAAGTATATAATTCATCTATGGCAAACAGTTTTGGTAAGTATTTTAATCATCTTTATTTATAATTTTAGTCCTTTTTTAAATTTTAGTTTAAAATAAATCATCCATCTAAGGATTATTCGCGATATGATGGTCCTACAGAGGAAATTGTTGAAAAAGAATATATGAAAAAACATTATAGTTGGTCACTGAATATTTTTTCAACACAAGAAAGAAATGTTAAGTTGAATCCATTTAATGACAGCTGCATTGGTATTGAATCTAAAGAAGCTTACAATGTTACTTTTAATATTATTAGTAAGTTTTCATAATTTATGGGGTTTTAACTTCAAATCATCCATCTATAATTTTTGTATTAGATTGTTTTTTTATTTATGCAAACAATTTGAAATTAAAGCTCCCTAATGGTTTTTAATGTTTTTTTACAGGAATTGATTTGTGGAAGCTACTGTACTTAATTTTTGGGGTTTTATTATTTATTTCCGCACCCCAGCTTAGCAAAAATACGATTTTTTATTATGTTTGTGGTATTATTTTTGGAATTTGCACTTCTCTTTTGATTTTGATTTATATTGCCAGTAAAATAATTCCTAGGGTAGGTAAATTCAAAATACTGAAATAAAATGTCTAAAAACTATTTTTCAGAAACCTTTTATGTATGGTGTTTTGGGTTGTGGCTGGACAGTAGTTATCTATGTGCTGCAAATACTTTGGGACAACATTCGAATGATTTTAGAACATTATAAGCTTTATGTTATTTGGTATATGTTAGCAACAGGATTTATAAGCTTTATTTGTGAGTTAAATAACAATGAATTTTGGATTTAGTGTAATTTTTTTTATAGTATGTTACAGATGGGGTCCTGTAGAAAATGAAAGGACAATAAATCTAATAAAATGGAGTTTACAAATTACTGGATTAACTTTAATGTTTTTTAGCAGCCATTTTCAGGAAGCTGCAATGGCTCAAATTGTTGTTTTAATTTTGTTTTATAATATTCCAAAATCGTGGTTTTTGGTACCCAAAAGATATTGGTAAATATTTTTTTTATTTTCTTAATGTTGGTTTAACTTTAAAAAATAATGTTTTTGTTTAGGGTCAGAAAGTTCCCTCCAAAAGTAAAACTTTTGACTAATGATGAGTATTATGAAGAGGGGGTTAAGGAGACAAAAAAAGCCTTGGAAGAATTAAGAAATTTTTGCTCCAGTCCTGAGTGCAATCAATGGAAAATGGCGCTAAAATTACATAATGTAAAAAGGTAGGTTATTTTTTTTAATAATTTTTTTACATACTTACAGTAACCTTTTAGTATGAAGAATTATTAGTACATTGTAAAGTAAGTGAATCTTACTAAAGTAAAATTAAAATATTTGTTTTGCAAACAATTTTTTTCTTTTGTTTTAGATTTGCCTCCTTCGTTGAAGGTAATTCTCATTTAAGTGATGATGAAATTTTAGAGTATGAAACTTCAATTCAAGGAGGTTTGACTGATGAAGAAGATGAAAATTATACTGATGAAGACTGATTTTGTTAAGTATAACTTAATATTTTTAATGTAATTTCGACTGTGCAAAATTGTAAAATAAAAATGGTATTTTTAATAAATGTGATTTTGGTTAAACATGTTATTGGTAGTTTTAGAAAAATAATACATACAATAAATTTTCTAATTAATTCTTTTATTGGAATTATTTATAATACTATTTTTATTTAATTATCTAATAAAACATAAAATATAAAAAAAAGTTTGTTAAGTAACAAAATTTAGTAAATTTTATCTAATGACTAAAACTTTTTTATAAAATATAGAGATAGTTATAAAATTATACATATACAAATATAAATATTAAAATTTAAACAATTAATAGGTACTACATAGTATAGATATTATTTTCTTAATTTTTCTACATTAAGGCAGTTATAAGGCACACAAGAAAGCGTTGAAGTTAAACAAAGTCCGTTAAATTAACGAATTCTTGATATTTTCTTGCTTTTGTCGACACATGGAGGTGGGGGGGGAGGTTTATTTGTAATATACCTCTTGTAAAGCCTAAAAAAGTATGCATGTGTTATAGGTATAAAATTAATTTTTTTCCTGGCAAGCAGTTTTTGAAATTAAAATTTAAGAGTTAAGTATTTCAAAACAGTGATACCAGATGAGTAAAAATTAAATCCCTGTTCTTTGATGGAAAATTCCCTATGCTCTTAACTTGTTTGAAACAGTAATAAGAAGCAACAAAAATAAAATAGAGGGATACATAAAACATAGGTGCAAATGTTAAAATTTTAAAAAAAAATACAAAAATATTATTTATAGTACATATCCAAATTTTTCGTAAATAATATCATAAGGGCATCTAACTTTTAAGAAAAAATACGTTGCTAAGTAATTTTGTTAAAAAATATTATTTGCATTAATTAAATTCAAAAAACACAATTGTGTTTTTTCGATTTTTTCACAGGAAAAATTAGATGCCCAAATGGTATTTGACAAGACTATTTCATGAGTAACAGTTATTCTGCATACACATATATATATAAGCTATAGCTTACAAAACTTACTACCTATTATATATAATATTACTTATATACATGTAATAATATTATATACATGTAATTTTTTGTGACAACAGCTGCAGCTGACAAGTTTTGCCGCGGGTAAACTCGAAAAAAGTGCTGACAGTGTGTCCCTGGATGCCAATAGAAAAAACTTTTAAAAAACCCCTGCTTATTTTAAAAATGACCAAAATTCTGAATCAAATATACAGGGTGCTCAGAAACTGGTCAAAAAGAAGTACCTTTAAATAATTATTTATTATTTTAATGAAAAATTTTATTAAATGACATTTTAAATTAAAGTCTGAATAAATAATAAAAATAAATTTTTGTGTTCGTATTTAGATTTTAATTTGAATTGTCATTAACCTTCTCTTTTTTATAAATAAAATATTTTTTTTTATATAAAAATATTTGAAGGAGAAAAAATGTTGCATTAAATCTAATACAAAATTAAACATTAGGAAAAGTACAAAATTTAATGTCCTAAAAATATTCTAAATTAAAAAAATAACTATAGAAATCGATTTGTTTAATAAAGTAATATTTTTAATTAAAATATCAATATACTAAAATTTTGATATATTGGTTGCATAATCTGTAATCTTTAGTCTGCTTGGATAAAAAAAAAATTGAAATGGAAGTTTCCCAACTACAAGTGTCTTGCATTGCCTGAACCATGAGTCATGTAATTTTTCAATGTATTGCTTCAGAACCAAAAAATCTATTATAGCCAAGTAAATAAACGTTAATAAATAAAAATGTTAACTTACATTCTGTAAGTATCACTTTTAAGATAGTCCATCAGATGTGATACTCCCAATTGCAACTGATCCTTAATTTGTTCAACCCATTCATTTCCTTCAAACTTAAAAACAGCTTTCTGAGATGCCATATCCAAATTTCCAAGTTCTGGGGGCAAAATTGTCAACCTGTTGCCTTGAAGATGCAACTCCCTTAATCTAGTCAATTCCCCAATTTCACTTGGGAGTTCTACAATATCGTTTTCTCTCAGAACAAGCTAAAAAAGATTATTTAAATAATAATTTAGTTTGATAAAATAAATACGTACTATTTGAAGATTTTTTAAGTTCTTGATATCAGCTGGTAGATGTTCAAAGTCATTGTCACCCAAATATAAGGCTCTTAATGTTTCTAGAAGTATAAGAATAATAAAAAAATATATAAAGGATAAATAAAAAATACCCATCATAAAGAAGTTTCCTGGTAAAGAATCATCTTTTAAGTTGTTGTAAGTTAAATCCAAAACTTCGAGGGCAGGAAAAGCTCCAAAACCTCTAGGTAATGTAAACAGCCTGTTAATCGACAGATTCAATATTCTTAATTTTGGCATAGACGATAAAGATAATGGAAGTTCTTCAATTTGGTTGTTTGAAAAATTAAGAATCTCAAGATTTATTAAGTTTGCTAATCCAGGTGGAACAACTAAAATTTGATTTTAATAAATTTTTCAATTTATATTACATTTTCGTTAACTTAAGTAATTAAGGTAATTACCTTTTATTTTGTTGTGGCTTAAGGTAAGTCTGGTTACATAGGTCATATTCACTAAAAAATAATTATTTAGTATTTTATTAAAATATAATATGTATTAATACTAATTACATAATAATTAATAAAAAGATCTTCTTGTTATTTTTAATTAAATTTGTATTGTTTCAGAGTATTTCTCAATTAACGATTAAGTTATAAAAAGTTTTTTGCATCGAATAAACCTCTGCATATCAGAATTATTATCCTATGCTAATTTAAAAATGGGTATATTTAAAAATTCTGATAAATTTTATATACCTACCGAGTTAAACTTAATAACTTCAGTTCACATAAGTTAAGGGAAAATAAGGGGTCCTTTAAATACATATGTATATATATAAATAAAGTTAAAGTTGTGATTTGTTCCCTTTTCGACCCAATCCCTTTTCGTTTCCGTTCTATTCCCATAATAGTAAAAAAAGTCAAAAAAGTAAAAAAATATAAAGAGTTTGGAAAAGGTAAAAAAAAGTCTAATAAAGTAAAAAAAAAATTCTACGTAAGTAGAAAAAAAACCTTGGTGAAATTTAAATAAAAAAAACCTTGAACCCTCTTGGAATTAACAAAAAATAATAATAAATGTAAACATTTTTTATTTCTTGTTGTTTATAGGCAGCTGTCAGTCCCCTAGGGGATGAATGCAGCTTAATTAGACTTAAGTCATCTACCTGCCAATGAAAGTGCCGTTAAAATCGATTTAGTCGGACAAACATTTTAACAATTTTATTTATAATGTAGGTATACTGTATATTAAGTAGGTATGTATAGAATAATTTATTCAAAACCACACAATTTTGATAAGAAAATCATTACAGGAAAACTTGAAATTAAATAATTACCTACCAAACGCGTTAGATTTTTAATTGGAAGAAAATTTCTTCAAGAAATGTCTTTAGCGCCCTTTAGATCAAAATTTCAAATTTTGACACATCAAAACAAAAATACTCGCACATGGCCAAGAGAGCCACGCCCACCGTGTCACATAAAAGTCGTCGAACAAGATACCAAATTTGGTAAAACTTGTTGAAAGCAATAAATGAATGATCAACTTACATAAACCAGGCATCTCCTCGAACGTGGAAACATTTTTATCTGCCAAATCGAGCTCGGGATTTTGAATTTCCCGAGATTCTTCAAGAACCTTTTTCGCCTTCGACATTTTAGATTGGGTCGGAATGCAGGAAACGGGAGCCTGATTCATTGCGCGCGCAAATTGTTCCCGTCAAATTTAAAAAAGCGTGCGGCCGTGTGAGCGGACCTGTTTCAAATGACCACAAGACAGAGACAAGAGCACAAGAGCTGTTTCTTTTAATATTATTCACCTTCTTGGCCATCTGCCAACTTATTTTTCTTATTCCCACCTTTTTATGCAATATTTTGATCTTTTCAAGGTCTACTTAACTTAAAATTAAATAAAAAACACGGTTTGTTTGTAAATTTTAACTTTTATTGATACGAAATAGTAGCTACTTCTAGAATTTTCCAAACAATGCATACCTACTTACCTTTACAACCAGGCCCGACGAAAGGGCGTTAAAGCGGTATACCTATAGGTACAAATCATAGCTATATATAGCTATAGTATACTAACTATGTATTATCGTTGTGTGAAGAAGTATATACCTAGGGTATATTTTTTATCAATAGATAGTATTATAATATATTTATAAATATTAATTATTTAAATTTTATACTTACCTGCTATAACTTAAATAACCCAGTGTAAATAAATGTATACAATTATAATAATTATTATAGTTTTAATTTTTTTAAAGAATTGTATTTAGAATGTTAAAAATTAATTAATTAATCTACACGCCACTGGCCAAATACTTAATTGTTTTCTTTTATTTTTCAGTAATACTTATGCCAAAAACGTACTCTTACATAACATTTATAGCCTATAAATTATAGGTAGGTTCCTATACCTGTATATATATATATACCTCAAAACCTTTTGCTTTAAAGCAAATAATTATTTTCAAGCTTTTTCGAATTCAAATGTCTAAGCACTATAGCACTATAGTGCTTAGACATTTGAATTCGAAAAAGCTTGAAAATAATTATTTGCTTTAAAGCAAAAGGTTTTGAGGTAAAGGTAATATAAATTATATAATTTTACTTAATAAATATTCCAATAAATAGGCATTTTCTTTTGGGTGGCGTAACAAAAATAAGATAATAAGATTATAAGGAAAATAATTTTGCAAAACTCCTTATTGTTTATTTGCTTTTGTATATTGGGGAAAAGGATTTTTAACTATTATAAAAATATCTCATAAACATATATAATTTTTAAGTTCCCATAGGTAATCTTTTTAAATATAAAATTCAAATTTTAAAATTATAATGCCTACATTTTTGCAAAACGATCCAGAACCTTATCAATATTTAACTAGAATTTAGTACATCAGAGATGCGCACAAGATACGAGAGATTATTAATCTAAGGATGCTGGGGACGGACGTTCACTCTAGATGATGCGCACAAGATGCGAAATCATTGCGAATTAAATTCACTATATATATTGCTATATATATATTGCCAATTAAATTCACCATATAGTGTAATAGTAATAAAATAGGGCTTTTATTATGCCACACTTTAAAAACTATTTATAGAGGGCGACTTGCATTTTTAAATTATATTTGTAGTATTTTTTTTTAGGTCTTCTATCTTAAGGGGTTTAATTACCCCATTACGCCCCTTATCACTACATAAGTAAAAAAAAAAAATTTGGCCAGTGGCATACAAATTCAATAATAAATTTCCAACTTCAACAGTAAAAAGCTGATGATCTTTGGTAAGAAGGCACGTTTTATCCAAGTCACTGAGGCTAAGTGTTTTAGGTTAAATCTTCATATTTTGGGCTTCTTCAGTAAGGGTGTTACCAAATATAATTCACTATAGTGAAAAACTTCAAATATTGCACTCCCAGTAAAATATTGACGAATCCTAAAATTAGTAGGTTAAATTAAATTGTAAACATTCGAAATAGTTTTAATTTAATTAATTTTTAAGCTACAAAATAAAAAAAAGTTACACCAATATTCTACTGGAAGTGCGATGTGTCAGCTGACAACCATGTTATTAGTTTGACAGGTTAATAAACTCATTTTTAAATAATGAAAAGCTCAATAAATATTTCTTGGTTAAGCTTATGTACTTATTTCATGTTATGATCATATGAATTAATTATAATTACTCAAAAACTACTCATAAGAAAAAAATATTATTCAAAATAATTTATATGGTGTAAATGACCATTTTCGTGTATTTATTAAAAATATTTATATTATAACTAGTTGTAATAAATTTCAATTTAATGTATTTATAAAAAAGCGTACAAGAATTAGAATGAGAGAAAACTGTCACCATAATATTATTGCTTAAAACTGGCTTATCATTGACATAAGTCATTATAGGTTTTTACAAATACAGAGCATTGACGTCTGAGGTAACTTAAATAAAATTACATAACATATTTTTTCTACTCCTATAGGAGTATACATTGACGATCTGTAACTTTATGACGTTTTATTTCATACTGTACTTTAATGTGCCATTTCCCGGACTCATTTGAGTCCGGAAAATGATACATTACATCACTAGGCCGGTAAAGTAACTTTACCGGACTGGTATATTTTAACAACACATTATAAGTTTTGCGCCATTCACAGAATATCTCGTATTCCTTTTGATATCGTCCGGAAGACTTGACCGGGATAAGTTTCGCCGTCGCTTCAGAGCTTTTTTTCAAAATCTCTGCATCCATTTTATTTGAAATTATTCAAAACGATGCTGAATTGACAAACAAGACAATCAATAAAAAAACTCTTTGTTACTGTTAGCAACCGATTCAAAGCATACTACATTATCACCCTATGTTACTGGTGCTACATTTTATAGTTTGTTTAGACAATACTGATACCATCATCAGGGTTCCCTCTTTTAAAACCATTTAAAATTCCCTGACTTTTCCAGGTTTTCCCTGACCAAAGTCCCTATAATTCCAGATAAATAAAAGAAAGACATAAAGATAATTATCTCCCAAAATAGTGTCCCATCAGAATTATGTTAAGTCAAAAGTAGCGTTTATTTTTGTTAATATTTATTTAAAAATTAAATATTATACTTAATAAAAATTAAAATAAAATTTTAATAAAAACAGTTTAACATAAAATAGATTCTTTGGTACAAACATAAAAAACATTCTTTGGTATACATTTATACAAATATACCATATTCATCAAAGCAATGCACAACAAACTTTAACAATTTAAAATTAATTATGACAATTGTTTTAATTATTGTTAATTGTTCGTTTGTTTATCAGGTGCATTGCTTTGCGATGTGTAAAATTTTTTTGTGTAAAATCCTGGATAATTACCGCCGTCACGGCGGCGCCGTACGAAAACAATTGTTTACGATACCAGTGTTGCCAATACGGCGACTTTCAACGAAAAAGGGGCAGAAAACAAGCCGTTTTATAAATTTCCCTGACTTTTACCATAATATTAACAAATTCCCTGACTTTTGCGCTGACTTTCAAAATTCCCTGACTTTTCCCTGATTTTATTGGACTTAAACGGATTCCCTGACTATTCCAGGTTTTCAAGGATTTCCAGGTGAGAGGGAACCCTGATCATGTACTGACACATTACTGACACCTTCACCTGAATATACAGTTCAATTACCAAAAATTTGATAAAAATATTGAACCGTATGAAATAAAACATTGTACGATACACGGCCGTGAAATGTCATTAAAGTACTTGTCTAGAACTTCCAGACTCGGCTCCTTCGTCGCCTCGTCCGAAAACATCTAGACTCGTACTTTAATAGGCCATTTCCCGGCCTTGTAACGTAAATTACTATTATTGACGGGCTGAAGTTAACAACAGTGGCTTTTCGACATTTTACGTCACGGGCTGAAGTTAGCTTTATTATAAATTGGGAAAAAGTGAGGTTAAATTCGGGACAGTTGACAGATGTCAAAATTTTAACAAATAAAATTGGCTTTAAATTCTGTTTTGTGTTCGTCGTAGATAAAGTATAGTATGCAACTCGTTTATAAACTTCTCTAGACACTCGTTTTTATTAAACACTCGCTCGCAAGCTTCGCTCGTGCTTAATTAAACTCGTAACTAAAATGGCGTTTATAAAACTTGATACATAATATACTATTTCTTATGTATACATATTATTGTGACGCGCTCCGAGAAAAGCATCTCAGTAAAAAATAATTTTCCTCGAATATTTGGCAGGTAACAACGCGTTAAACATTCTTTGTTTGTTGTGCCGTCAGTGCTTCCGTCTCTTCTTTCCTTTCTTCTCTAAAAACGATTAATTTCAAAATCTGAAGTAGAAAATAAAAAAAAATAGAAATACAACATTAAACAGGGACTGCAATTCTTATTTTACCCAATGTTTTTTCTTGTGTTTATTTTTATTATCAATAATTATGAATATTTTGTTTATATTGTACATAATGTTAGGCCATTTTACAATTTTTTATTATAATATCTTAATTAAATATTTATACAGGAAATCCTTACATTATAATGTAAGTATTTCCTATTAATAAATTTTAAAAATAAAAATTATAATTATTATGTCATAAATACCTGTTTACTGGATACATACTGTCAGTTATTTTTAATACGCCTACAATACCCAAGATGCAAAATCTGTAAATGTTATTTAATTAATCCCTGATGTCAATACTCTGCATTTTCAATAACCTATAATAAATTTATAGTTAGTGATAAGCCTGTTTTAAGCAATAATATTATGGTTGCAGTTTTCTCATTCTATACACAGTTATATACATAAAATAATTATTGGAAATTTTCAAAACTTTTTGCCACTAAACCAATAATTTATAAATTTTGTTTAAACAATTAATTGTTAAGCTATTAAAATTAAACAAAAACAAAATTTTATAACAAAACAAATTTATTACTCTTTCCTTAACACTTTACACAAAGCAGATACAGAAACAATAAAATAAATAACCATAGCAATAATTTTTAACTGTATCTGCCTCACTTAATTTTACCTGACCCTAACAAAATAAATCAATAAAATGCAGGCCATATCCTTAACCCACGCTGTGGAAAAGCTGAAACTCAAAAATCAAATTTGTTTAGTATAAAATTAACAACAAAAAAATTCGGAAATCTGCAATAAAGATTGTTAAGATATCTCATAATGGAACGATACAATTTTAGTATACTCTACTTAGTTCCATTGCTCCTTAATGTTAACACCAAACTGCTAATCGAGAGACTGAAATCAAATCAGAAAATACAGTATTTTTTTCTTCAAAGATTTAAAATGGAACCTGGTTTCTGAATGACTTAAAACTACTTCAGTTATACAATACATATTTACAAATATAAAAATACATAATAAGTGCTATAACTACTTGCTTATATCTAGATTATTCATTATTTAATCAACTTTGTAAGGGTAATATAAAGAGTATAATAAAGATTTTATCAATAAAGTAATAATAATTATTATAATTAACTCCTTACTTTAGTTCTAAATATATAAATAAAATTCAGAAACCAGGCTGATATAAAAGTTGAAAACTACCACACCTTTTTAATAAAGTAGCAGTCGTAATCAATGCAGTAGACGTTTCCTAATAATTGGCACCACCAAGTGAATCAGATGATTCCTGAAAATTTAAAAAAACAACAGTATTCAAAAGTAAAACAATCTAAACTAATATTAAGTGTAAGGAAAGAGTTTCATAAAAAATTTACAAAATAATCATGATACAGACATTTTACTTTTAATTAAATCCAGGATTCGCTGGCATTTTCGCTGCACGATGAGCAAAATTCCAGGGAAACTCGGTGCTTGGAAACGTGCAGGCATACTCCAATATCATCTTCTTCGGTTAGGTTCTTCTTTTGGGTGTAGTTGTGTTCACTAAAAGGTTCATCGTATAACTTGGTCAAGGGGTCAATGTCATCAAGTAGATTTAAGTCTAAAGGTATATCACAGTTAAGTAAATCCATTGAGAAATCATTACTAAATCCACAATCAGCCAATGGGCTGTTCTCATTTATGGATTCTGGTGTAGGAAAACTTGGGTATTGTTTACTTTCTTCCCAGGGGTGTGCTGTTTTTCTGGCAATGGGTTGTTTAGGCTTGGAAACACATGTATTTTTTAAGTTTTTATCCAATGAGGATGATACTGACATACCTGTGCTTTGATGAATGTTTTTAATTAGGTTACTTAAGTCACTACTATTTGCCAGAACACTTTTTAAGTGCTTAACCTGCTTTTTCAGGTCAGCTATTAAAAATGACTGATTATCCACTATTGTGGATAACTTTTTGTTTTCTCCTTTGGCTTTGGATAAATCATTTTCCAAAGTCATAACGTACATTTTTTTCTTCAAACGGTTCTCTCTTGCCATTAAAGCGTTTCTGGAAAAGACTTTTGGCTGTCTTGTGGGCTTTCTGCTAGTATTTCCATGATCTGAATTCTCTTTCTGAAATTTATAAAACTTAGTATTTTCCTTGGACTTTCCATTTAACCTTACTTGTGAGTTATTTGGATTATAATCTCCATCGTAATCATCTTCTGAGGACGACATGTCGGAAACGTATCTACAACGTTTAGACATTTTACCAAATATTATCGCTTTTCCCGATACGTCAACTTAAATAATATTTCACGTAACTTTTTTTCACTTATTCTCACAATTTTTAAAGGTATCTTGCTTAATTTTAGCTTTAAAACTGGATTTCTTTTAATAAATGCGTAGTAATATAAACAGCACGGAACAAACAGGAGGCTTGTGGATTGCGAAATATGAGGTATATTTTAGGCGCGTAGTAAGCTGCGCTTTGACACTACACATAAGCGCGCGCAGTCTGCACGTCCTGTAAAATGGCGGAAAGTTTAAATTTTTAGTTTAATCGGGATAAAAAATTAAATTTTCGCTCGGTTTTGTAACAAATATTAAGGATGTTTTTGCCCATTTAATTAAGTAGGAAATAAATTACACTTTAACGTCAAGGCCCACCATATTAAAAAATAAGAAGTACAATTGGCGTCCCCGAAATGGAATGAATTTTTTTCATAAAATTCATTCGTTCATTCCTGGCTTCGGACAGTGGTGTTACAAATAGAGCGAAAGAATAAAGCAACCCTAGACAAAAACAAGTGTTTGTTTTGTTTTTGTCTAGGAAAGCAACATTCGTAATAAATTCGCTGGCTGAGTGGCACTTTGTAGAGATGTAAAAGTAACGAAAAAAACAATACCCGCATGGGTTCAGATCAGTAGGTACTACTACTACTTTGATGTAACTATTCGTTACAAAGTATTCGTTACTCGTTACTATAATACGAAATACGAGTCCTTGCATTTAGCTGGTGAGGGTTTGGTTTAATTATTATTTGGAATTGAATGTACAGTTACGGAAAGAAGTAACGTCCATTTGAATGCTCCATTGTTATTGTTCGGAGGCGTTCGGAAATAGTCAACATCTGCCTCTAAGAGATTTATTTAAAAATATGTCTATATTTAGAATTTACTACCTGCTCGTATTGAATTAATTATTTTGGGTAAGTATATTACATATTTAACTGTATTTTTATTAAATCGGTAATTTTTTTATATATTTTTGTATAGTTTAATAAACATTTACCTATTCTATGAAAAAACTTTTAATAACAACTTTTTAGGCCATAAATAATATTATCAAGTCGTAGTTTTTTAAAACTTTCTTTGCATTTTTCAGAACTATAGCTATAGCTATAGCAATGATTCAATACACTATTCTACATCAAAGGAGTAAAAAACACATTTTATTATTTGTTGCACTTTTATGACACATTGTGTTAAAATTAAAAAGATATACCTATTTAAAATTTTTATATTTGGTAGGTATATTTTTAAATTAAATATATACAGGGTGTCCGGGAAAAGGAGGTCAATCCGTTAACCATATATTCCTTGAGTTAAAACAATAAGACTATTATAATACCATTTTTCAATTTAGAGCTTCATGTTCGATATACAGGGCGACAAAGTTTGAAATTTAAAACTGATTTTTTTTAATAATTCAAGTAATTGATAAGATATTAAGTTTAAATTCGGTATGTACACTACTTCAACATAAATAGTTACATTTTTGGAGACCAACAAAACAAAAAACAATTGTCAAATAATCAAAAATGTTCAACAATAAATGATTACCTGAAAAAATACCGTTTAGAAGTCATTGGCGCACGTACTAAAAAATAGGGGGAGTCAGTGAGTACTGGACCCCCCCTATTTTGATTATTTGACAATTGTTTTTTGTTTTGTTGGTCTTCAAAAATGTAACTATTTATGTTGAAGTAGTGTACCAAATTTAAACTTAATATCTTATCAATTACTCGAATGATTAAAAAAAATCAGTTTTAAATTTCAAACTTTGTCGCCCTGTATATCGAACATGAAGCTCTAAATTGAAAAATGGTATTATGAAAGTCTTATTGTTTTAACTCAAGGAATATATGGTTAACGGATTGACCTCCTTTTCCCGGACACCCTGTATAGTAGTATAGGTACTATGATTTATCAAAAAATGTTTAATATAATTATAATGTAAGAGTTAGCATAGGTACCTATAAAACTATAACATACATATAAAAACTATAAAACATATAAACATAAATAGGTATAATTGAATGTAACTACATACCTAGGTAGTCGCTGCTTAAAGAAAACATACAATTTATATTTTATTAAATTGGAGGATATATAATAATTACTCAAATAATTATTAATACAAATTAAATAAAAAAATATTTTTTATTGTAAAAATAAAAACACTACTTATAATCAACAAAAAACATTTTCTTTTGTAAGAAAAATTAACAAAAAATAAGTTAGTTTCTAAACATCACGATAATACATATTATTTGGAGAGAAATTATAATTTATAAAGATTAAATAAGAATTTAAATAAGTTAGTTTCTAAACATAACGATAATACATATTGTAGCGAGTACGGCTCTGGATCTCGCTATGATGACTCATCGCCGATGAGTCATCGCCGGTGACTCAGCGCTCGAATAATCGAGAGTGTGGAGCTCGCTGGAATGTTCCAGAAGACGTAGGAGCTGTAATATATAAGGAACGGCGCTTCATGGAGAGTCAGTTGAGATTTGGTACTCGCGAAGTAATAAATAAATATAAGTGCAAATAAATAGACTCTTGAACAGTAGTGATATATAAATAATTAGTAGTTAAGTGTTTAGTTAGTTTTATAGTGTTTTAAGTGTAGTTAAGTTATTAAATAAATAGTTTAGTTCGTTAATTAACCAGTGCGTGTTTTTATTCACACTACGAACAGTTAAAAACGTTACAATTGGTGTCAGGAGTGCGGTTAGTGTGAAACTTCGCGAAAATGGTTTCATTAATGGACTTAAAAGTGGCGGACCTTAAGCGGGAGCTAGAAGAAAGAGAATGTGAAACAACTGGAAAAAAGAATGTGTTGCAGCAGCGGCTTCGAGAAGCATTGGAACAAGAGGGTGAAAATCCAGATGAGTATTTATTTGAAGGCCCGTGTGATATGCATTTAATGTTGCAAAATTTAAACGAAAAAATGTTGGAGAATTCTAACGATTTAAAACAGAACATTCTAGAAAATTCTAAAGTCGATTTGCAACAGAAAATTTTGGAAAATTCTAACGAGTTGCAACAGAAAATGCTAGAAAATTCTAAGGATTTGAAAGTCGATTTGCAACAGAAAATGGTGGAAAATTCCAACAATTTAAAGGATGATTTACAGCAGAAAATTCTGGAAAATTCTAAAAATTTAAAAGAATATTTGGAACAGAAGATTCTAGATAATGTCAATGAATTAAAAGAGGACGTACGGATGGAATTGAATGACGTAAGGAAGGAATTGGATTCGAGAGAGGAAAAATTAAATGAGAAATTGAAAGATAAAATGAGAGAAATAAATAGTAAACTGACAGCTGTAAATCTACCTATGATGCTGGCGGAACCAGGAACAGTGCCGGAGGGAAGCCGAGTACGGATGAAACCACCTCAGTTCGATGGAAAAACTTCTTGGACCAACTACATCCGTCAGTTCGAGGCAACAGCAAAAGCAAATGGCTTGCTACCAGAAGAGAAGGCTACAGCATTGACTCTTGCTTTACGTGGAGATGCAACCGATATCTTGCAGACACTTTCTCCCAACGAACAAGAAGATTACGAAGCGTTGGTGAAACATCTGGAACTGCGATATGGCCAGACACATTTGGAACATGTCTACCATTCCCAACTTAAAAACCGCTGCCAGAAATCAAACGAGACTTTGCAAGAATTTGAGGCTGATATTGCACGCTTGGTACGGCTAGCATATCCAGCTACTCCAACGACCGTTATGGAACGATTAGCGGTTCAAGCCTTTTTGGATGGACTTCGGGATAACGAAACAAGACAGGCTCTAACACTGGCTCGTCCGAGCCAACTGGTTGATGCATTGGCTCGAGCTTTGGAATTCGAGGCGGCAAAGCAGAGCTGCAGGAGCCAGCCTAGAATAAGGAGAGTCCAAGAAGAAAAGGAGGAGGAACCTAGTATAATTGAAGCAATCAGACGAGTCCTTAAAGAGAATCTACCAGATAAGAAGGAAATCCGGTGTTGGAGATGTGGAAAGCTAGGACATATACGAAGTTGTTGTAAAAGAAGCCAGGTGGAGCCGACTTCGTCTCAGTCGGAAAACTAGGTAGGGTCGAGGAAAAGGGGACACCTTTGACCTGTAACCAGTATGCCCCAGAAGATATTGAACGTGTTGCATCTCTTCTACACCAGTCAAGCAGTGTTTTTGTGGATGGTTTAATTAATGGAAAATTACATGTGCTGCTGCTGGATACAGGTGCGACGAAGACAATTATTAGGCCAGATATTGTCGAAATGTCCAAGATCAAACCTACCAATCGGCGACTACGTACTGCAACAGGAGAAACCGCTACTGTTCGTGGAGAAGTGGACATCACGATGGTCATAGGAAATACGAAATTTAAACATCGAGCATTAGTTGCAGATATTGAAGTTGAAGTTATTGTAGGCATGGACATTATGAACTCTATAGGATTTGAACTAAACTTTCAACAAGGAATATTGAGAGTAAATGGAGAAGAAAACGTGTTGCATCGATCGAAAGAAAAGAATATTCGTGTAATGTTAACAGAAGATGCTTTGATACCGGAACAAAGCGAGATGATATTGAAGGCTTCCTTGGATTGTAAATCAGAAGATGGAAGTATAATGCTTCTGGAGCCGAGAATTGATGACAAAGAGGTCGGTCGAGGAGTTGTTGTAGGAAAGACTTTAATACGTGTCGGAAAAGAAGTGCCTGTAAGAGTATTAAATGTTAATGGTTACTCTGTGAACTTAAAAAAAGGAATCGTTTTGGGTAACTGTTCTTCTGTTTCCTCAATTATTAGAAGCATTCGTGAGTCTGGAGTTCCGGCCAAGAAAATTAGCAATGAATTCACGACTCTGCTTTCGACTTCTTCAAAGGACTTAAAACCAAATGAGAGAATAAAGCTGAGAGAGCTGATACACAACTATCAGGACGTCTTTGATGATGGACAAGGAAAGAAGGGTAGGACAAGAAT